CCTGCCTCGGCCTCAGCTTCAGCCCTGCCTCAGCCGCCTCAGCCTTGCCTCAGCCTCAGCCTCAGCCTGTGTCAGCCTCAGCTGCATCAGCACCAAACCCAGCTCAGCCTCAAATCAGCTTACTCGCTTCGGCTTGCCTCGAGCCTCGCCTTCTCAGCCTGCCCTCCGCATCAGACATCAGCCTCAGTCTGCCTCAGCCTAAGTCCTCAACTAGCCTCAGCCTCAGCCATGCATCAGCCTCAGCCTCAGCCTGCCTCAGCCGCAGCTTGCCTCCAGCCTCAGCCACAGGCCTCAGCCTGCCTCAGCTTCAGCCTCAGCCTCAGCCTGCCTCGGCTTGCCTCAGCCTCAGCCTCAGCCTGCCTCGGCCTCAGCCTCAGCCTCAGCCTGCCTCAGCCTCAGCGTCAGCCTCGCAGCCTCAGCCTGCCTCGGCCTCAGCTTCAGCCTCAGCCTGCCTCAGCCTCAGCCTGCCTCAGCCTCAGCCTGCATCAGCCTCAGCCTCAGCCTGTCTCAGCCGCAGCTTGCCTCAGCCTCAGCCACTGCCGCAGCCGCAGCCTCAGACTGCCTCAGCTTCAGCCTCAGCCTCAGCCTGCCTCGGCTTGCCTCAGCCTCAGCCTCAGCCTGCCTCGGCCTCAGCCTCAGCCTCAGCCTGCCTCAGCCTCAGCCTCAGCCTCTCAGCCGCAGCTTGCCTCAGCCTCAGCCACTGCCGCAGCCTCAGCCTCAGTCTCAGCCTGCCTCAGCCTCAGCCTGCCTCAGCCTCAACTTCAGCCTGCCTCGGCCTCAGCCTGCGTCAGCCTCAGCCTCAGCCTGCCTCAGCCTCAGCCTGCCTCAACCTCAGCCTCAGCCTGCCTCGGCGTGCCTCAGCCTCAGCCTCAGCCTGCCTCGGCCTCAGCCTGCCTCGGCCTCAGCCTGCCTCAGCTCGAGCATTCAAAATATGGCACAGGACTGGTGTTCTGGGAACACGAAGACCACCAAGTGGCCCACAGTTGGCTCCGAACAATCAAAATATGGTACAGGAGTGGTGTTCCGGGAACACGGAAAACACGAAGTGGCCTACAGTTGGCCCCGGGCATTCCAAATTTTGCCTGGGAATGGTGTTCTGGGGAGACGAAGAACACGAAAGGGCCTACGGTTGGCTCTGGGCATTCAACATGTGGCCTGGGAATTGTGTTCTGGGAAAACGAAGAACACGAAGTAGCCTACGGTTGGCTCCCGGCATTCAAAATGTGGCCTGGGAATGGTGTTCTGGGAAAGCGAAGAACACGAAGTGGCCTACAGTTGGCTCCAGGCATTCAACATGTGGCCTGGGAATGGTGTTCTGGGAGCACGAAGAACACGAAGTGGCCTACAGTCGGCTCCGGGCATTCAAAATGTGGCCTGGGAATGGTGTTCTGGGGATGGACTCCTAAGGATTTCTAAGGATTTCTTAGGATTCAGAAAAATTCCTGGGGCTGGCGGATCCGTCTGGTTCCTTGTCCGGTTCCCGCCCAGACCCCCCTGGGGCGTCAAGATGCTTTCTCTTTTGACACCACTAGAAACCTATCAGCAAAAACTGTTAGGTAACAGAACACACTCCGCCTCCAAAATTGGAGCATGCGCAGCGAACCCGATGCGGCCTCCCCCAACCATCCCTGTCAACAAACCATACAGAATACACTTGGCTGCGGCGGCGGCTGCGGCGGTGGCGGCGGCGGCAGCGGCTGCGGCGGCTGCGGCGGTGGCGGCGGCGGTGGCGGCGGCGGCGGCGGGGGCGCGGCGGCGGCCGCGGCGGCGGCGGCGGTGGCGGCGGCGGCGACGGCAACGGTGGCGGCAGCGGCTGTGCCGGCAGCGGCTGCGGCGGCGGCGGCGATTCGACAGCGGCGGCGGCGGCGCTGGGCGGCACGGCGGCGGCGGCGGCGGACAGCGGCGGCGGCGGCGGCGGAAGCGCGGTGGCGGCGCGGGCGGCGGCGGCGGCGGAGGCGGCGGCGGCGGCGGCGGATTCGCCACCAGTACCTGCCCAACCAAAGACGGCTGCTGAATATGCTGCGGTTCGGGCCAGGCTCGGGTGCTACGTATGTGTTGGGAGGGCGGGGCGGGTGGAAGTGAACGAGACGGCTTGCGGGCGGGGAGGGAGTCTTGAACCCTCCCCCCCCCTCCCCCTGGGTCTGGGGTGGGTGTTGGAGCGTTCAAGATGGCCTCGGCGCGGAAGCCACACTTAGCTATTTGGCTATCTGTTGGCTTCCTTGGGGGAACCCTGATGGGGTAGCTCCCCTCCTTTGATCGATCTCATTCACAATTGCCCACATCTTGCCTCCAAGGCCCCCCAAAGGTGGCCCAAGGGTACCCAGCAGGCCCCAAGAGGCTCCCAAGAGACCCACAAGATGCCTCCAAGAGACCCCCAAGAGGCTCCCCCAGGGGCACCCAAGACGCCTGAAGAGGCCTCGGCGAGAAGGCCACTATCTTTGATTTTCATGGTTTTTGCAACGTTTTGGCCTCGTGGAGGGGGCCCAGATTGAGGAGCCCTCCTCCTTTAATCGATCTCTTCCAAGATGGCCCCGACGGGGCCCCAAGACGGCCCCAAGAGTGCCCCAAGAGGGCCCCAAGAGGCTTCCAGGAGGCCCCCAAGAGGCCCCAATGAGACCCACAAGATGCCCCCAAGAGGCCCCTAAGAGGCCCCCCAAAGGGCACCCAAGACACCCAAAGAGGCCTCAGCGAGAAGGCCACCATCACTGGCTTTTAGTTTTGGCCACGTTTTGGCCTCCTGGGGAGGCCCTGAGTAAGGAGCCCCCCTCCTTTGATCTATCTCTCCCAAGATGGCCCCGAGATGGCCCCCGCGGGTGCCCCAAGACGGCCCCAAGAGGCTCCCAGGAGGCCCCCAAGGGGCCCCCAATATGCCCTCAAGAGGCTCCCACGACATTCGCAAGATGCCTCAAGAGGCCCGCCCCCCAAATGCACCCAATACGCCACAAGAGGCCTCCGGGACTGCCAAGAGACCCCCAAGACCCCCCAAGAGGACTCCAAGAAACTTTCGAAAGAAGTCCGAACAGACTCTGAGAGGCATCCAAGAGGACTCTGCCTTTCTGCTCGCTCTCCTCCTCCTCCTCCGCGAGCGTGCCGCCACGGCCCGCTCCGTCCTGCATCGCGCCCGAGGCGGGGTCGGCACCTCACGGGTCGCCGTTGACATGGATGGTGAACGCGGCCAAGAACTGGCCGCAGCCCCCGCGCTCCGGGCTACCAGATCATCGCCAGGAGGGGAATCCCTTGGCCCGGGAACCGCCTCAGCGTCGTCATCGGCGCCCCGGATCGGCGAGGCTAGCAGCGCGGGTGGCGTCGAAGCGCTCCAACTCGAGAGTGAACCCGCCGAGGAAGAGCTCACTTCGAGGACGCCGGAATCAGACGAGGACACCATTGGCGTGAGCCGGGGGCGCGGCACCGTCGAGCGGGAGGCCGTGGAAGAAGAGGATGAGGCCGTCGAGGTCGGCCCCCGCTGCCGCGTCACGCGCCCACTGGCCAGGCGGACCGCGCACCGTGCCGCAGCCCCGATGTCCCGCAGCGCCTCGTCCGTGAAGTGCCCGCGCTGTGGATGGTGTTTGGCAATGCGCCACATGTGCCAAGACGCGGCAGCGCTGAGCAGGCTGTCGACGGACGGGAGAAGGCCCATCTTATGCTCCAGCGGCGGGACGGCCGAGCTGCGAACCGCCGCCTCGAAGGCTATGTTGAACCTCGGGCATTGGGCCATTACGTGCGAGATGTCGTCTTCGCCGCGGGCACACCCGAAAGGACATGCTCGGTCATGACCGTGTCCTTGCATGCGCCGTCCCGTCGGCCAGGCGCCAAGCCACGTCTTCGTTGCAGCGATCCGCACGCTTGGAGCCATGGTCAGGAGGCGCTCCTGGTGGGCGCCCCAGTCAAGGGAGTTCGCGGCGCCGGCGGCCGTCGGAAACCATGTGGCGATGCGCTCCCTGAACTTTGCTACCGTCGTCGAGGGCATGAGGCACTGCATGAGGGTGCGATGGGGCCGCTTATGGAGCCCAGCCTTCGAGCCGCCGTCGGACTTCCACGGGTGCGCCATCTCGTGGACGAGGGCATCCGAGTGGTGGCAGATGTGCGGGCGATTGGGGAAGCCGCGGCTGGCCTCCACCAAGTCGTCGATCCACGGGGGCTCCTCCCAGAAGGCGTTGTCCCGGGCTCCTCGCGCACGCGCCGCCAGGGGGAGAAAGCGTTGGGCCGCGTCCTCGAAGAGCCGCACGAGTGGCTTCCAGCGCGGGGGCGTGGTGGTTGCCGTTCTTGCCATGGCCGCCGCGCCCTGGACGACGATGGAAGGGGGCTTGGGGCCGCCCCAGTCGACCCAGTGGTGCCAGTCTGGGAAGGTGCACGCCGTCGGGGGCACCTTGAGGATCCGCGCGAAGATGCCGACCTTAGCGGCGCGAAGCTTCCACGGGAGAGGGAACAACTGGGAGACGTACGAGACTGTCGGAACCGCCCGGGTGACATAGAGCTCGGCCGTCGCAAAGGCGTCGCCAGGTGAACGGGCAATAGCCCTTGCACGTTCTTGCCGCGTCAACAGCGGGCCGGCTAGATTGGTGGCCCGATGATGAAGCCGAGGTAGGTTGCCGAATCGACGACCTTGAACTGCACCCAAGACGGCAGGACGGCTCCAAGAATTTGCCTGCGTGGACCGGATAGCTTCGGAACTGAGCTTTACAGCGAGCGGTATCTCAGCGCACTTTTTGGGCTTGAGCACGAGCGTGGCGAAGGACTCGGCCAGCCTGAAGATCCGGCCAAGCGCGCGACGCCCGGAGGCGCCGAAGGTGACCGCCCCGACGTCGTCCGCGCAGCATCTGCTGGCTCCGTTCTTACGCAGATCGACGTTCTGCCACATGTCCCACATGAACGGCGCACTGGCCGCTACAAACAAATCGCCGCCGAGGGGGCATCCCTGCAAGGCGCCGCTGAGGATCCAGTAGGCGAAGCGGATGTAGTGACCGTGGGAACTGACAGCAGCAGCATGATGGCACAGCATCCTGATGGCGTTGACCATTCCAGCAGGGAGTTTGAGCGCGTCCAGGCACATGAAAAGCCAGGCCCACCCCACAGAGGGGAAGGCCGCTGCGAAGTCGAAAAGCATGAGGGGCGGGTGCTCGGCGGAGGGGAGGAGCCCGGCGATGCGGCCGTAGGTATCGAGGTCAACGATGTTCTGGAGGAAGTCGCGTCCGCTGAGAAACCCGCGCTGGTTCTGAGGGGCGGTGCGCTGGACCGCCGTCTGCCACTTCCGGTGGTGAACGCTGCAGGTGATCTTATTGCTGGTGAGCTTGAGGCTGAGCGGCCTCACGTCGCTGGCCGCCCTGCTGACCAGGTCGCCGGCGTCGTGCTCGTCGAGGCCCTTGGGCGTGTAGATCGCCGTCGCGAGGTTGAAGGAGTCGAACGTCGGGGAGCCGCTGCAGATCCACTCTGAGCAGGATGAGAGGACATCAAGGACACGGGGGTGCTTCCAGGCAGCGTGGGGAAGGCCGCCGACACCAGGGGCGCTGGTCGGCATTTTCTCCGCGAGCTTGGCGAAATCCTGGCGCACTGGCGGGCCCACCTGCCCGGCCAACGCGCTGCTGTTGAAGCGGCCGAGGTAGCGGCGAGCGCCAAGCCCCGGCGGCGCCTTCGCCGAGAAGACGCGGCCCCAGTAGTCGGACAGCTCAGCGTGGATGCCCTCGGGGTCCGTGATCGTGCGACTCTCGACGCGGACCCCGGCGAGAACTTTCCTTGCCCGGAAGGGCGAGAAGAGCAGAGCACGACGTCGTAGCGCACGCCTTTCTCCAGCTTTCTTGGCTCGACGCCGGGTGCTGGCCTCCTGGGCCTCCTCAGCAAGGAGGGCTGCCTCCTTGCGCTGCGCCTCCTCCCTCTGCAACCGGGGGTGGAGCGCGGCGCAGCGAGGGGGGTCAGTCAGGGTGGCGCGACTGACATTGAGGTCGAGGTGGGCGTACTCGGAGATCCACGGGTGGAGCCGGCAGAGCCTCGAAACGGCCTCGAAGTCATTGCCGTGGATGAGCCTCGCGACCGTGCGCGTGACCATAGCTTTCGTGTGGACCCCGTCGGGCATCCCGAGAATCTCGGCGTTGCGGATGACCTTCGCAACCTCCTGGAGAACGGTCGCGGCGGCGATGTGAGCGCGAGGCGCAGACTTCTGCTCAATCCTGGCGGCGTCCAGGTACTTGTCTACCAAGTCAGAATATAGGTTGTGCTCGAGGTAATGTCGCGGAATTGGTGCGCGCGGCTGGATCTGCGGGGAGTGGCCCCCCTCCTGGGGCGCGGCTGCCCTGTGGAGCACCGCCGCGGGCACAGCGTGGTCGCTGGCGCCCAGGACGTGCATCTCCTCGGGGCCCAGGTTGGTCGCGGCGGCTTGGCGCCCTTGGCGCAGGAGCCACGGGGGCGTGGAGATGAAGATCTGGTCAATCTTGGAGGCGGACTTGGTGTAAGCAGCCCAGTGGGTCGGGCCGACTGGGACGAGCTCCGCGTAGACCTTCGCCATCGCACGCCAGTGGCGCCCCGCGCGACCGGCACCAGGTAGACGTTCCCGTGGAAGAGCCGCCTCGCCAGAAACCTGACCGCGCCGGAGGGGCAGTTCGTCCGACCAGTTGAAGTCACCGGCCACGAAGCAGGTCCGCGTCTGGGGGGACTCCTGCGACCAGCGAGCGTCTGCGATCATGTCGGTGGTGACCGTCTTGGAGCGGATGGCGCTGAGCCCGTGGTTATGGACGTTCCAGATGATGAGTTCCTTGTGGTTGTGCACGCTCCCGTTCGGGGGGCACGCTGCCAGTGACCTTGAAGGTGTCTCGCCGGAGTCAGGTAGGTCACCCACGTCCGGTGCGCGTGGCGGTTCATGGTCAGCATCGGCCTGGTCTCCTTTGCGGTTGCGCACGCCCCCGGTGGGGGCGCGCGCGGCCGGTGACCTTGAAGGTGACTCGCCAGCGTCAGGTAGGTCACCGACATCCGGTGCACGTGGCGGCTCATGGTCAGCATCGGCCTGGTCACCGCCGTCGCCGCAAGCAGGCCGCGGTAGGCGAAGGTGGAGCCGCTGGATGCGGCCATGTACGGGAGCGTTGTGGGACACCACTGTGGGGGCGGCCCGGCCTGCGATCTGGTTGACGAGGATCACGACGCCACCGCCAACGACACCTTCGGGCAAGTAGGAGGAAAACGTGTATCCTTGGAAGTGCACCCGGTGGAGGATCTCACGGAGGACGGTGTCGTTGCCACGGACCTCCTGGAGGAGGACGATGCCGTTCGCCTTCAAAGCATTGCCGAGAGCGTGGATCTTCGGGTCACTGATCTTGTTGTCCAGGGTGGTCAGAGCCCTGCTGTTCCACGTGGCTATCTTGAAGACGTGGTGCGGCGCGAATGCGTCAAAGACACCACTCCAGGGCGTCTGGCGTGCGAGCGGCTCGCAGGGCCATCGCCATTTGGGTGCGTTGAAGCCCAAGGGATTCGATACCTTTGTCGCTCCACATAAGTGCGACGTTGCCGTCGGGCCCGACGCCGATCTTGACCACGGGGGTCCAGTCATGGGTGATGGTACCCGATTGCTTGTCCGCGAAAAAGCGTTTCCCGGTGGCGGCCGTGAGCGCCCGCCTTGCTTTCCGGAGCTTGAATTCGAGGGTGCGGTCATGCTGGTTCTTATCCTCATCGACCGCGAGATTGATGAGGTCGCCGCTGGGGGCGGGGCAGGAAAATGACCGCCAAGAACCGTCAGCACGCCGAAGGGCGGACCGGGCGAGTGTGACCTGTTTGGTGGCCCACTCGCGTGTACCCTTGAATTGGAGGGTGAAGCTTTTGCCGAGGTCGTCGCCGATGAGCTCCACTCGGTCCGGTTTGATGTTGGCTGCGTCGAGCCAGTCGGTGAGGGATGCGCTGGCCTGGTCTTTCGCCACCGGGCCGCGGGCGACGACGCGCAGGATGGTGGTGTCCTTGGGGCGGTTCCAGGCCGGGCCGACTGGAGCGGGGCCGGGGTCGCCGCCGCGCATGAGCCCAAGCTCCTTCTCGAGGGTGTCCAGCCTGGCTGCAAGTCTCGCGTTGGTGATGTCAACGTCGTCCATGCGCTTCTCCAGGGTGTCGATGCGCCGACCGAAGAGATTCTGGCACTCCTGGGCGATCTCTGAACCCAGGCTGGCGACGTCAGCCGCGATCTTCTTGAATCTGGTGGCGGTGTTGTTCGCCGCGTCTTTATGCGCGTCCGCCATGGCGGAGATCCTGGAGCCCATCCTCGACGCCAACTCCTTGAGAGCGTGGCGATGGTCTGCCTTGGTGACGTGGTCGTCGTCGTCAGCGCGGTCCGTGCTGCAGGCGTCATCGTCCCGCCCAGGGCTGTGGGAGCCCTTCCGATCCCGGTCATCGCCGTCGGAACTGGGGCGAGGAGGTCGCCGATCGCCGTCGCCGCGGGGTCGAGGCTGCCAGGGGTCAGCACGGTGCTCAGAGCTGCCAGGCTGCCATGGGTCAGCGCGTTCGCCTTCGGAGAGCGCCTCACCACGCCCTTGCTGACTGCGGCTCCTCCGAGGTGTAGCAGATCCTGCTCCAGCTGCAGCGTCGCGGGATCGATCTTCGGAGCGGCGATGCCGATGAGAAGCGCCGGACCCGGCGCCTGCAGGAGCTCGGTCGTCGGATCGAGGCTGGCGTCGAATTCCCCTGTCGCCAGGAGGCATGTCTGTGCGAGAACGAGCGCGCACGAGAATGAGAAGGGCGCCGGGCGGCGCATGCACTGCGGGCCGACAGGCCGAGAAGCAGTGTGTAAATGGATATGTAGGTGGGGCAGACGCCCAGGCAGTGAAAAGCAGTGCGCCGGACGCGGGGCGCTTGAGCCAAAATGGCTACGGACCTCCTCCTCCTCCTCCTCCTCCTCCTCTCCTTCATCGTCCCTCCTCCCCCTCCCCCTCACCTTCCTCCTTCTCCTCCTCCTCCACCTCCTTCTCATCCTCCTCCTCTTCCTGCTCCTCCTCCAACTCCTCCTCCTCTTCCTCCTCTTGCTCCTCCTCCGATTCCTCCTCCATCCTCCCCCTCTTGGGGTACGACGTCCTGCCCATCAATTTCTTTCTTCCACTTTATTATACTCCACATCTCCAATCAGGGCAACTCGTCTGGGCATCGTTTCTTGACGGGATGGTGAGGTTGCGCGAAGCGCCTAGAATCTGCAAGGAAAGTGGGCGAGGACGAGTGGAACGGATGGGACTAGTAAGCTTGTCTGGAACACGACCGCCGATGATCGATCGGATCGCGCACGCCAACCCGCGCGCGAGCGCCATCGTTCCCTATTTAATGCTCAATGTTCGGCCCCTATCGCTGACCAAATTCCCTTTACCCAAGTCCTGGCTATACCCGATGTTCATAAACGCTCCCAGAAGTGGCTCCTTGTGGAGCCCTTGCAAACCTTCGATCCAATCCGATGCCTAGCCATGCATCGTTCGATTCGACAGATCCAGAATCAAAAGAGCTCGCTAGCAACAGGATGGAGGAGGGTCCAGAAATGCGGTGTCCCTGGGCCTGGCAAAGGCCCCGGAGGCCGAAAAAGGCAACAAGAACTCCTGTCGTATTTCTGTCACGGCGCGAATCTGTCTAGGGTAGGGCATGGGCGCGAGGAAAAAACGAGCGCTGCGCAAGTATCAGAGCGCCAGGGTCTTCTTACAGCCGCTGCTCAGAGTCGCCACCTCAGTGTGGTCATCCTCCCCGAGGAGCCCCCCAACCATGTGGCCGGCGTGCCTCAAGTTGCGTGCGAAGAAGTTCAAGTATGCTGTGCCAGTGCTGGTGCGGCCGTGCCTCACCTTCAGCCAGACCTTCCCGAAAGACATCCACGGCGTGCCCGTGTTGGCTGCCTTCGTGCCAGCGCTGAAGAAAAGGCCGTGGCCTCCCTTCAACCCGAGCGAGGCGACCTTTGGGGACGAGCCCGAAACCGTTACTCCCCGGACCTCTCCCAGGGTGCGCTCTGACAAGAAGATCGACGCGAATCCAGCCGTGGCGACGAGGGTCTCCCAGGCGGCCCCGAAGGGCGGAAACGAGCCAAAGGGTAGCGGTATCGATACCTCTTCCTCCTCTGAACCTTGGACTCCACCCATGCTCCCGTCATGTTGACGCTCATGAAGTACGTGTCCGCGCAAGCGTCGCCTATCCGCTGGGCGTCGGCCTCCACGGCGAGGAGCGCATCCGACCGGTTCGCTCGGAAGGGCACGAGGAGGAGAACGTGGACGCCCGGCCTCATTACGTCGAAATGCTCCCCGTGTACGTTGACCAAGTGCGGGTCGCCAATGGCGGACAAGACACCCGGAGCCGCCGCGGCCGTGGTGCCGCCCTCTGGCGGAGCCACCACCGCGGCAGGGGGCATGCCCCCCGACGGCATGGCTGCACCGTCCATGCCGTCCGGGGGCATCATTGCCGCGGGCATGCCGTCCGACGGGGGCGTCATTGCCGCGGGCATGCCGTCCGACGGGGGCATCATTGCCGCGGGCATGCCGTCCGACGGGGGCATCATTGCCGCGGGCATGCCGTCCGACGGGGGCATCATTGCCGCGGGCATACCGTCCGACGGGGGCATCATTGCCGCGGGCATGCCGTCCGACGGGGGCATCATTGCCGCGGGCATGCCGTCCGACGGGGGCATCATTGCCGAGGGCATGCCGTCCGACGGAGGCATCATTGCCGAGGGCATGCCGTCCGACGGAGGCATCATGGCCCACGGGGGCGTGCCTGCCGTGCCGTTCGACGGTGGCATCGGGGGCATGGCCGGAGGAGTTTTGCCTTTGCGTGGACGACGCCCACCGCCAGTACGGTTTTGCGCTTCGCCCGACACCGCCATCCTGGTCTGCATCATGAACACGTCTGGGTACCCGATTCGCCTCAGTGCCCCCATCCCGGCACGTTGAGGCGTGGTATAGTGCAGAGTGCTGTATGGTAGGGTTGCTGCAAGTCTTCCAGCCGACCCTCCCCTCCTTCTCATGCCGCATGCATCCGCCCCTCCTTCTCCCGAGTCTTCCTCGGCGGCCCGACGCCTCCCTGGGGTTCTCGAGAGGTCTCTCGGGCTTCCAAGACGGCCTCCAAATGCCACCAAGACTGCTTAGATGTCCAAGCTTTGCCTCAAGAGGCACCCACCCAAGATAACCCCAGGAAGCACCAGCGGGGCCCAAAGAAGCGTCAATCACACCAAAGAGAACGGTGCAATACATATGTTTTGCTTTCCTCGGGCCTTTCGCATCAAGACGGCTCGAAGAGGGCGTATACTGAGCCAGAGAGGGGCCCAAACGAGCCCTATGCGGGCTCCCATATGCCCCCTAATACAAAAGGTTCAGGGCCCAGGACAGCCCCACGAGAGCTCCAGAACGGGGCCCATGAGAGCCCCAAGAATTCCTTAAGGCAGCGCCAAAAGATTCCCCCGACAGCCGAGAGAATCCCAAGTGGCCCAAGACGGCACCCTGAAATAATCTCACTGGGCCTCTCGGCTGAGGTAGTCTAGCGCGCTTCCTCGTCCAACCCCCTTCTTGCTCTTCGGGGAGGTGCCTACCACTGCTCCTTGCTAGTATACGCCCCCCCCCTCCCACTCGTTCGGGTCCAAACCGGGGTCAATGCCGTCACCTCCCCACCATCTACGTCAACCGCAGAACATAATCAATTGACTTGGCGGCAGAATCTGGACTATGTTTTGGCGCCCTTCGAGGAATGTGTGCTGTTGTGTAACAGGGACAGCGACGGGGGAAGGACATCATGTTGCAGAGCGTGTGCAGGCTCACCGTTTCTGTCAAAAGCAATTCCAAGGTGCACGTGGTGGCACAGTTTTGGACCACGTGCGGGCGCCCCGCGATCATTTCGTACTGCCATGCATCAAGGACGATGGAGGTGTCCACGTATGGTAGTGGCTGTGCGTGCCCAGGACCCCAGCCCAAATCACATGCAAAGTGTTTGCGGGCGCGCGCGCGCCACACACACCGTGCCGACAACCCCACCGCCACTTTGCATTGGCTGTTCCGCGGCGCCTCTGGCGCACCAGGCGCGCCTGGCACGCGTGGGTCTCTGGGCCGCCTGGCGCACCTAGTGCGGGAGGCACGCCTGGTATGCGCGGCGCACCTCTCGAGAGTCACGCAACTGGCGTCTGTGTTGGTTCCCACTGGCCGTCTATCCAATGGCGACCCGTGCCGATGCTGACACTCTGGCTCTGGTGTTACTGAATTCTGTGTGGGGGGGAGGGCGACTGGGAGTGAGCGAGACGGCCGTCCTTCGGGGAGTGGCTCACCCCCTCCCCCTCCCACCTTCCCCTGGCTCTGAACGGAGGTGGGGTCCGAGGGGTTAGAGCGCCCACAATGGCTTCACGATAGCCCAAGCAAGATGGCCTCCACGATGGCTCCAGATATCCCAAGATGGCTTCAACTGACCTCCAAGATGAATTCAAGAGGCCTCAATGCCTCTCCAAGACGGCTCCACGTGCCCATGGAGCCTCCCAAGGCCTCCCAAAATCTGAGGGAAATCATAACTGTTTGTATACTCGCATTTTTGCTTTCGATGAGCATCCGAAGCCTCAAAATAGATTCAATATTGCCGAAGAGAACCTCCCGATATGCCTAAGAAAGCTCTACGACGATCCGGGAAGCGTCGCCACACCGGGTGATGCGCTGGCGTGGTGGCGGAACTTGCCGCAAGCACCTGAATGCTTTCACACTCCTGGAGTTCGCAGGTGCCTCTGGTCACCGTAGCACATATAGATAACGCAACGGCCTGCAACGCCACGTATTTTGCGCAGCATGGCGTAGCGGAAGTAGTCGAATGAGAATCCCTCATGATTCCCGAGTCTAGCCACTTGTCGATAAGGATTGGTTTCTAATGTACGTGTAGGTGTGGGGATTAAGCACTTCAGGAGATTTGAGCCAGAGGGAGTGGCTACCGAAGGAGGGCGAGGAGAGGAAGGACGTGGTCCAAGAGAGTGATGCTGCTGCTGCTGGTAGTGGTGGTGGTGGTGATGATGATGATGATGATGCTGATGCTGATGATGACGACGATACTGGTGTTGATGATGATGCTTTTGATGATGCTGCTGCTACTGATAGCGATACTGATAATCACAACGAACATGCAAATGATACGGATCCTGATAGTGATGATGCTGCGGCTGCTGCTGCTGATGATGATGATGATGATGATGCTGATGCTGCTGATGCTGCGGCTGCTGCTGCTGCCGATGATGATGCTGATGCTGCTGATGATGCGGCTGCTGATGGTGATGATGATGATGGTGATGGTGATGGTGATGATGCTGATGATGATGATGCTGATGATGATGATGCTGATGATGATGATGACGCTGATGATGATGATGATGATACTGATGACGATGATGACGTGACGATGAGGGGAGGAAGGATCATACATTTGAGGGGCTTGAGGTGGATAAGGCGGACGTGGAGGGGGATTCTTACTCTGATTGGGAAGAGGAAGACAATCATAACCCCCGCACGCAGCACTGATGGTGCAACGCGTCAAATCGCACTGGGTCCCCTAATATATAAGGCATGGCGCATTTTGTAACTACGCCGATTATCCTTCAGATGAGCGCGGGCGGCACTAAGATGAGAACCGCATTGCGAACACGAGCCATCATCCACCAGTGTAGTTCTTGGACATGTGGAAGACAAACGTGCGTGGCACTGAGGTGATAACCCTACTTTGGAAACTCTGTCCGTGTATCTGTTGGGCACATGAAGCGAATGCGCGCGGCACCAACATGACACGTGCTCCATCCGTGAGCTGTTGGGAATTCCAAGAGCTTCAGGTCACACGTGGTGTAAGAGTCTCATGCGGAACGCCAGGCCCGTCCAACCGACACGTCTTATGGTGCGAGATGGTAGTTTGCCTTTGATGAGGAGGAGGGGCGGACGAAGAGGAGTGGAGCTGGTGGTGAAAGAGACGGACGGGAAGCGCGCGGGTACCTGCTCCAGGGAAGGATCCGACGCAAGGGGCCGCACGGAGCGAGGCCCCCCACACTCCGCCCGACTGCCCGTTCCAGCGCCCCACGCGCGCCGAACCCACACCACTCTCGACACGATCCAGCTCGCCCACGCCCAACGACAGACAGTCACACTGCCCCCCCTCCGCGCGATCCAATACTCACCTTTCTGGAGCTGCTTGGATTCGGATTTTCAGTGCCGTGTACCTCCCAAGAACTTCCTGGACAATTCGTTTGGGCCCTCGGGGGGGGGGGGCGGGGAGCTCGTTGGCAAGATCCTCGCACAGCAAATCTCAACACGTATCGTGATCGTCTGGGTGGATGCTCGAGGCCTCTCGGGGCGGCCCGGGGCCCTCTGGAGTGGGGGGGGGCTGCAGGGTCTTCGGAGATGTCCGAAGAGTTCCAGGGGGAGCTCCAAGGGTCATTAATAAACCCTCGGGCCCTCGGGCAATAATGGGAAAATTAATAATTTATCCGCCGGCTTTTAGACGGATTGGGACCCCGACAACGGTTGGAAATTATTTATTCTCGTCAGGCCCTTACGGGGGGAAGATTTGGAGCCTCTAGAGAGGGACGTCGCATGTGCGAGAAAGGCGTGCCGCCGGGCTTGCCCCCCTTCGTCAATGTCAACTCCGCCGCCTCCTGCATCCCCTGCGTCGTAGAGCCTTGCACGCACTGCGTCCAACGCCCCTAACCGCCTCTCCCCAGGCGCGGGTGGGGCCTCTTGCGATGCCCGTGCCTCGAAGCAGGCCAGATCCCCGTGGAAAGATTGAGGAACGGAGCGAGAGGGGAACAGTGGGCTTGGACGGTGTGCCTTGAGGAACGTGCCCTGAATGTGACAAGATTCCCCCCCCCTGGAATCTGCTGAGGGGGTTGGGCATGTGCTGTCGGAACGGGTGGAGGGGGGGTTGGAGGAAGAGGAGGAGGTTGAGGAGGGGGAGGAAGGTGGAGGGGGGCGAGATTGGGCAAGCTCACAGAGTAAGCAACCGCTCTGGACAGTGAGCGCTGGGAAAAGCTGCCCGCCCCCCGCCAACCTCTCACGCGCGCCTCAGGCACAGCCGGAGCACGCGGTGGCCCGGGAGGGGGATGAAGAGGAGGTACCGTCGGGGCGTTGACCTAAGGAACGAAAACCGAAGGAACACCTAAGGCCAACTGTAAAACAACGTAGGAACACGGAGCCCCTCCCCAACGCAAAGGGTTCCTTCTTCAGCGCCCCGACTGTCTGTCAATCATCTCTCACCGCGGCGCGCACTTCCTGATTTCTGCCAGTTGGCTCACCCTGCAGAACTCCGCGGCGGATGGTGATTCGCAGGAGAAGGGATGGAGCGGCGAGACAGAAGGCGAGACGACGCTGGGCGGGTGATGCCCGAGACCAGGAGGCGGCAGCAGGGGCTGGCCGTATGAGGGTGAGGAGACGCACAGGAGGAGGGGGAGCTCTGCTGCCCCGACCTTCGGGTGTTCGTTTCAGTCGGGCGTGTCCCCCTCCAAGGGGAATTTGGGCAACAAATAAACCTTACCCCACAAATATACAAGACATGTCAACTAACAGACCGTCCCCTGATTATATTTGGATTCTTTTTGCATGTCTTCCCTGTGGACAGGCCCGACTTACGTGTTCGTGAACGGGGGGGCAGCAATCTACATGGGGCGACGCTGCGGGCGCCTTTCGTGCACCTTTTTGGGGCCTGCGGTGGCAGCTCGGGGGGGCCTGCTGGGCCCCTCTGGGGCCACTTCTTCCTGCGGTCCTCGATCTCTCCCCGCGTTGATTGCCGCCTCCCCCGAGACGCCCCCCCCCCGCCCCCCCCTACCCCAGCAGGGCCTGCAGCGGCGCCATCGGTGGGGTCGGGGGCAGCTGCATCGTGCTCGGCATGTGTGCCCTCGCT